CTTGTGAAGCTGGAGCTAGCTCGTCAAGCCATCATGGTAAAACTTGTCAACTCGAGAAGAGGCTGTCTAGATGGGTCACCAAACTGCTCCCAAAGAGTGCCATTCGAAAAAATCGTGCACGGTGAGAGAAATGCAGCGCGTAAATGGCCTGAATTGCTCATAGATCGGAACCTGTACAGCATTCTTTAGGTTCGACTGCTTTCAAATGCAGTCACCATTTTGGATGGAAGTAGAACGCATCTCAGAAAGGGCTCGATCGACGCTCTAATTTACTAGTTCTGCATCTACTAGATTCAATCTAAAAAAAGAATTCCACGTACCTGCTCTGCAACTGTCCTCTCAGGAATATTTCACCCTCGGAGCACTTGCACATGCTAGAAAATGCGTCAATCGGCTCACAAACAGCGCCTATCTGGAAATGAACTTTCTGAGTTGTAAGTCCTATTATGTATTTATTAATGAGGAGAGGAAAAAGAAAAAAGAAAAGGAAAACTCACTGCTTCGCAGTCGCTGTTAGAGGTGCACGGTGGAAGATGCTTCAGGGAAGGGGTGTCTTTCTCACGATTATTTCTCTCACGAGGCTCTGACGAATCTAAAACGATCACGTGAAGCTTATTCCTGTGGTACTGCTGGACCTCCTGAGGTTTCAAAGTGGAACAAACTATTCAGCCTTCTATTTAATTAAACTGAAAATTAGTATTCTAAATATATTGGCACACGTCGGCAACGGGGGGGGGGCATTTTGCACTTTTGCTGCTTCCATTATCGTGTCAAGCCAGCGAGTAGAGATTTGTCAAATTCTGGTGATGTCATGGAGTGCTGCCACTCAAAGTTCCAGAAACAGCTCACCACCTCGTGTAAAGAATACCTGTCAATTCTTGCAAGGCAAGGAGCACGACAAAAGGAACATGCGAAACTGCGAAATGCCCCCCCCATCTTCCGTCGCCGGACTGCGCTGGTATATTCAATTCTGGATCGGATCAGGTTGGGCCACCAAACACCTAAAAGTTTCTATACCCTGTAGGAGTGCAGAATGGGTGCTAACTCACTCCGTACTATTAAAGGCGGAATCCACGCTAGTTGTATAAGCGGGTCTGGCTCTACAACGCTGCCTCCCCTACTGTTTCGCCTCTCTATCTCCAAGACGCCACGAAAATGGAGAAGAACAGTGGTAGGCCCGGTTTCGCCCACGCAACCAGCGTAGAATGTGCCTTCAAACGCCTTAGACATGCCGTGACGGCCACTTTATACAGGGTTAATGCCTCCATAAAACTTACCGTCCGAGCAAATTCCAAGCGAGACCGCCACTAAATCGAGTTGGTGTTTACAGGCGAACTGAATAAGTTGACACATGCTGTCGTATGTTGTACCGTCCGATCCACAAACGCTCATATTGGCAACTGAAAAGCTCAAAAAGCATGGGCGCTATAAAAACACACAATGTGGCCTTAGTTCCATCGGTTGTCGACTATTTCAAAGGCAACTGGCACGATAAATTTTTGAGACAAAAACGCTAATACGCTTGGCAGGAATGAATTCGGCGCCCCTGAGTAGGCGCTGCGTGCCGCCTTCTCCAAGAAAGGAACCCTTATAGCGCCCTGCCAAACTGCAACATACCGACCCGAACGCCCATCGCGCCTGCCCGCCCACAATTGTCCAACCGATGCTGATGCTCCTGTCGCTTCATTAGTGAAGTAAAATGTGAGGAGAAGGGATTGATATGCAGCGGCCGCGGGCTGCATGGATGTGTAAGCACATTCATGCACTAGAATCTACAGTAGCGATTATTGGTAATGGGTCAGCGGGCACGGGGAAATCGTCCGAAATTGCTTTCTGAGTCGAACAAAGGCTTTTTGCAACATTCGCCGTTTCACTTCGTCTTTTCGCTATTTCTGACTGTTTAGCACCCCTGCTTCCATTCTAGACAGAGTACCAAATTATCGCGCCAATTGCCTTCAACTGGGTGATTAGTAATCTGCTTACCATAGTTGCGAAAAAGTTACGGTTTCAGAAGTATTATATAAAGCCTAAGCGCCACACTTCTGCAGTGCAACGACGTTGTGTCGTCAGTGATCTTTCAAGTTGATAGCCTTGCGCGGTATCTGTCGGAAGCAGTGCGTACCGGTCCCAACGCCCCGAGGGGTCGGCTATAAACGCATCTCTCGCGCTCATCCGAAGGAGTTGAAGGAATGTGTTCCTTCTTGGAAATCCGCATCATTCCAATAATGTTGGCGTTTCTTCACAATTCCTTTTGAAAGCAGCGCTCGCGCTCAGTTTGATGAGCTATGGGGCTGACACAGTGACAACAAGGTAGCAAGTAGTTCATTACACAAGAAAAATGCAACATACCCGTAGGCTATGTCCTATATAGGACCCTACGTCGAGCTAAGGTAAGGTTGCACGTGCTCAAGGCGAAGAGAAGTGCACGAGTTCTCACTTGTTGGTATCAGCTGTTTTCCCTTATCACCTCACTCTCACCATTCGAAGTGGTGAGAGAGAGAGTTAGTAGCGGAACAACCGCACCATCAGGCAACCATTAGAAATGAAGTTGGGCGTAGTGGTCGCCAGGTGGGCGGGGTGGCCGACTCTTCACGAGCGGGCGCCGCTATTCTCTCGCATTTTTGAGTTGCGAAACTAGTACATCTCCATCCTTGTAGGGTGAGCTACTATATCCTACGAGGGCGGGGAACCATCAAATGAACGCGGGCGCTGCCTTCAAGCTTTCCACCTCCACAATGTACCCAAAAGCGCTGATTGCTCCGCTGAATCAGAATCCATACGGAATCTCTCAAAATAGCTTCATGACCAACAAAATTCCAAAGGGTCGGAAAAAGTGAAATTTTTACCCTGCGACCAGGGTGGGACTCGTGGCACAATAAGTAGTGTAGCTTGTTTCCTGTATATCGTAATGCCGCCTGGTGTAAAATCAAATGCGTCGGTTCGGTGCCGCACATAACACCACTTGAAACGAGCTGCAGCAAGACTAACGTCTTCGTCCACGGTCTGAGTGTAGAATGGAATTGCTTCGCCATGCACCCCCATCTTCAGATTGGTGGGCGGGGAGGGGGGAGGGGAGAGCTATCAGCATAGAGAAGATTCTTCCAGAGTATGATACCCCTTATACTGGTGATGAAGTCTGCTCCTCCCCGCGGTGCCACTGGGAGCTCGTCTCTGCAAAACGCAGACATCCGAATGCAGGTGACAGGCCTTCGTGACGGGCCGGCCGTCAAGTCCACCCAAGTCACATCCCAATGTTCAATGACACCCCCTATACTGCTCTTCTGGTACGACCTTCAGATACTACCTACGATGTTGCCACGATGCTACCGGTGCTCTGGCGTGTAGGTGAAGTCGACATCCCAACATCCTTCACTTATAATTTTCCTTAATTTTGTTTCCTACGAACACCCAAGTCACATACTACTTATAAGCACATAACTAGCCGGCCCAGTACTGCTTCTGTAGTAATATAACCCATAGAAAAAAAATAATTTTGCCCGGAATTATGAGCCAAGATATTTTTGCAACAACGCCAACTGTTTCGTTTTTCTCAACAAAGTACAGGGCTGAGGCTAATGGGGCCCTAAGTGCGTGCATGGATACTGCGGTGTGTAAAAATTGTAAAAAATTACCGGGTAATACGCAAATGCACCCGGGGCCCATCACCAGTGGGTTGTTGGAACCATACACAATTCGGGAGGTTCTTTCGAGCTTCCACACATTTTGCTCCATGATGGCACTCCAGTGTGGCACAACTTCTGAAAATGTTGACAAATTTGAGCAAGTTACTTTGGAATCCTAGCGTGCAGAAGTTCGCAGGCGATTCTGTGATCGTCATTTTTATTTCGAATTTCCGACTGGAGGCCGCTCCATACTTCACGATTTCAGCGGTTCAGTCGCGCGAAGAGGGAACCAGACGATGTGAGTGACCGTGTCTCACCCCTGATCGTTGGACCATTGGTCGGAAACAGTTCTGTAATGATTGCGATTGGATCAGCAGCTGCATTGGTTCAATGACTAGCAGTGGAGCACGGTCGATCATAGTCGCGAGAGTGAATCACTGTACTCGCGAAGTATGAATGCGGTCCCATCAGGTCCTGTCAGCAGCTCAGTACAGCAAGCGAAGGCGCTGTCCGGTTTGGAGGGGGTCATGCTTTACAGGTGACCTGTACAGGCTTAGCTGAATGCGATTTGTGCTACCACCAAGCCGAAGTGCGCCGACTGAATAATAGTATTTGTAGGCAGACCAACTACAGTTCCTTATACCAAACTTTTGGTATAAAAAACTACAAAAAAAGACAAATTCGCGGCTTCTATTCACAAGACAGTTCTTAATGAGCCTGGCGCTATGTATGCTGGGAGGGGTCAATCTAGAGCGAGTCTCAGCCACGTCACGTTTCAATGCGTCACACCGTTGAGGAACAGGGGCAGTGCGTATGTGCCATATTCTAATGCTAACATTCGGCCAGTTAGAACATGTACAAATCTTTCAATGATAGGCTGCAGACGAGCAAACATGTGTAGCCAAGCCTCGCTGGATAGTGCTCCCCCCCAAAGCACACAGCGTCATGCCTTCAACTTCTATTCAACAACTCAAAGACACACTCCGACATGGGTGCGGCGAGATTCGGCAGAGATATGTCATTATTAAGTCTTTCCGACTGGCGCCTTATGTGCTCATATGAGGAAGGTACAATGACCGCATGTCTTGGCT